TCTCAAAGCATCAGACAATGGTGAAATGCCCCAATCCCTTGGGATTTTCCAGGCTTTCAAGGCTTGCTAAATCTCGCCATTCACAACTCCTGAGTCCCAGGTTTAGGCTTTCCAGAGTGTCCACATCAGAATAGTCAGTGGCATTGAGCTTGCACCTTCATCCCTGATGGATTTCCCAGGGATAACCAGCCGAGCTGTGGCAATTCTTAGATGGACTCCTACCAGGCTCACAAAGAAAAGCTTCCCAAAATCATGCATCCCTCATCCACTCATGGACTCTATGTTCCGGTTTATTGATTCTGTGGGCTTTAAATTAGCATCAAATTCCTCTGTTCTGTATTCCCAAGGGATATCCTCTTCTGAAGGGACCAAAAGGTGCTGTGCTCAGTGGGAGGGTGACCCCAGCAGCAGTCTGTGAGTTTCTTGCTTTGAAGGAGCTGCAAACTATTGGCAGTTTGGGAAGAGGAAAAACTTGGTCACAAAAATCAAGCAGGGACAGAGTCTTCCTGGAGAAACCTTTTTTCCAGGTACTCAGAATGGTCACAACACTGGGAAGAGAGCAATGGCTGGAATCCCATCCTGTTTCACTGAAAAAGATGGGGGGAAATAGTGAATGATGATCCCAAATTGATAGGTATGTGTCAAAGGGCAGGAAGGGCAAACAAGTGGCAAGACATAGAAATAGTTTTATATCAGTCCAGGTTCAATGTGTCCAAGATGACCCCAAATCAATGCCAGAAATGCAATGGGCCACTTAAGAGAAGATGAATCAAATTAAGCTGAAAAGGGGTAGATTTATATTAGATATAAGGCAGAAGCCTTCCCTGTGAGGGTGCTGAGGCACTGGCACAGGGTGCCCAGAGAAGCTGTGGCTGCCCCATCCCTGGCAGTGTTCAAGGCCAGGTTGGACACAGGGGCTTGGAGCAAGCTGCTCCAGTGGAAGGGGTCCCTGCCCGTGGCAGGGGTTGGAGCTGGAGGAGCTTTAAGGTCCCTTCCAACTCAAAGCATCCCATGATTCTATAAGTTGAACCCACAACATGAGCTGTTTCCTCATTCCAAGAATGTATTATTATTACCTTATTATCTGGTGCTGTTGCCCCACAGGGCTGAAGGGGGGGTTCCCCCCCCCCAAGCAGAGGAGAGCAGGACACTCACAGATTTACCTTCTCCCATAGTCAGCTGCATACAGGAGCATCAGGAAGCATCCCTCGGCTCCCTTGGCATGAGTGAGAGCACGGACACAGGCCACTGAGCAGCAAGCGACCGTGCCCTGGCTCTTTTCTGGCCCCACTGCCCCTTCCCTGCAGTCCACATGATTGACTCTCCCCATGCTGCCCCTCCAGAGCCATTGCAGCAGCTAATGACCCATGGCAGCAGCTCCTTGTGTCCTGGGGAATGGTGTTTCTTTCCAATAGGTGGATCAAAGAGGACTCTTGAGTGGGGAATCCCTACGGGAGGATGAGAGGTCGGCTTGGATGAAGACAAGCAGTAATCTGTGAAGGGGATGAACAGACGAAACAAGCTATTAGGGAAAGTATTCGTGGCTGGTGGGATTAAAGAGCAACAGAAGGAAATGCTTAGAAAGAGGTAGGAACAAAGGAAATTCAAACCTGTGTGGGTCTATTAATAGACATAGGGAATTTATGAACAAATCAGGTGTTTGATAACTTCCTTAGGTCTGCCTCTGCAGAGAAACCGCATCATTTTCCTTTCAAGACTGCTGGTAGCCAAGATATTTAAACAGCATAGACTTAAAATGAACTGATTTTGTACACCTCAACCTGGATATCCCAAACAGCAGCATCCTTAAAGAGTCGGTGGAGGTATATAGCAGGCTTTTGAGATAGCAGACAATTGCTGAGACAGGAAGGGTGCTGGCATTGAGCTATGGTGGCAGCCTGAAATCAGATCACGCTGTCCAGTTAGAGATTAGAGTAAGAGGACAAGGATTTATATGTACCCCAGCTTGGTGGGGTGCTAAGCAGCAAAGGCAACCGTGCACAAGAAAGCAGCAGCTCTGGGAAGAAGTTAGGGGGGAGCAAAGCAAACCTGGACTGCAGGAGGGAGCCTTTAACAGATTTTTAGCTTCAATTTGGGCTCTAAATTAGGGGTTTAGGTTAAATTTGGGTACCTCTACCTGACAGCAGTGGGTATGGTGAGCAGGGTGGGTGTGAGCCCTGAACACAGCACGGTGACCCCTCAGTGCTTTGCACCCAGGCGTGGTGCTCACAGTGGATGTGGAAAAGATAGAAACAGTTGAATAAAGCCATCAGAAACAGGAGAAAGAGACGTGTTCTCATGAGGAAATGAGTTCTTTTGCCTCACAAGGACACTGAGAGGAGACAGGGGCTGCAGGGGTTTGCAGGATGCAGACTTCTTATAGAGACTTGTGTGCTCTGACAGGCAAATGAGCTGCCTGCAGATGTCTGGGACATGAAGCCAGGCAATTTCCCACCACTTTAGTATCCACACAAAGGTGATTTTCCAGCCCACAAAGTCTTCAGAACAGAAGTGAACCCTTTGGGGAAGACCTACCCCAGGTAAATTCAGCAGCTGGCCTCAGTATGTGAATGCTTTGGGAAAGGGAGAGTATGGGAGGTCCTGCCAGGTGATGTGCTGCTCGTCAGGGCCTTAAACTCTGTCAAGAACCTTTCCTCCTTGCCTTCAGTAGACTGGAGGCCATTCATCCATTTCTGTGCCTTGGGAATCCTGCAGCCCTCAGCCCAACGCAGGAGATGGCATTAACTTCCCCAAGGGAATGGGCTGGGGTGGTTTCAGACCCTGCTCAAAGGCTGGCCCATGGGCAGTGGTGGGAAGGTGCCTCCTCTACCAGAGCCCTCACTCACATCAACCTCAGCATCAGCAATGGTTCCTAGACAGGACCAGGAGGTGCCACAGATCTGGCAGAGGAAAGCAAACAGATGAATGATGGCTTCACCTTCCCTCCATCACATGTAACAACGCATTTGGCAGAGCTTTCTCAGGCACAACCTTCCCAACCTCAACTGCAGGATGCACCAGGCATGGTCCTGCTGATCTGCTGCTGCAGTTTTGACCAAAACCACACAAGTTTCCATGTAACACACACACACACCCCAAATCATTCAGGGAGAGACTCAGACATTGGCCGTTTACTGCATTCACTTTGGAAAGTGTTCAGGTGCTTTCTCCCTTCAGAAGGCTTGTCACGTATGTCTGGGACTCACTCCAAAGTGATGCCCCCATTGCCACAGTGAAAGCTCTGGGTCGTGAGGAGTCACTGTTGCCCAACAGGAGACCTTTATATCCACTGACCACTCACCTGAGCAGCTCAGAAGATGACAACTGGAGCTCCAGGACCCAATAGTTTTGCCTTTCTTTCTCCAGGCAATCCAGCAAGCAGAGAGAGGACATGATCTCATGCTCTGTTTCCAGCTGTGCCGTGACCTGGTTGCTATTTAAGATGAATGGCTTTCTTTAGTCATGATACCTTACAATGGAAGCAGGACCTTCAGCACAGCAAACCAGGCAGGCAGAATATATGTGGGGAGCAAATGGGAAATAGCAGCTGGAAACCTGGCTATGGAAATGCTGGGCCCAGACTGACAAGGATGGGAGGTGGCTACACTGGATGGAGGGAGCAGGGCTTGGGGTGAACAGTGGGCTCTGCTATGGACAGAGCTGGTGCATGGGGCTCAATGGGATATCAGGGGGTCGTGGGGGCAAAGGTGGCCCTGCCAAATAGTCATAGAACCAAAGACCCATTTTGGAAAAGACCTTTAAGACCATCAAGTCCAACCCTTAACCCAGCACTGCCATGGCCACCCCTTAATCACATCCCCAGGTGCCATATCTCCATGTCTTTGAAATCCCTCCAGGGATGGGGACTCACCACAGCCCTGGGCAGCCCATTCCAGTGCTTCACAACCCTTCTGGTGAATAGGGTGCTCCTATTATCCAATCTAAACATCCCCCAGCACAGCTTGAGGCCATTTGCCCAGGTTGGACACAGGGGCTTTGAGCAACCTGCTCTAGTGGAAGGTGTCCCTGCCCATGGTGGGGTGGGGGGGGGAATCTGATGAGCATTAAAGTCCCTTCAACCCAAACCAGTCTGGGATGCTGTGATTTCCTCTTATGCTGTCGTTGGTTGCTTGGGAGGTCCCTCACTAAGGGATGCGAGGGGGAGTTTTGGAGTGCCATGTGTAGACTCCGGATGCTCTGCAGGACAGAGGGGTCCACCTCTGGTCAGGAGAGGTTACCAAGGTCCACGGTGACCTGCTCACAGGGCTGGCTTGCACAGGGGTCTCTCCGGATGCTGCCATGAAGGTAGTGAAGTGCAACAGTGGTATGAGGTATCCTTCAGCTGGGCGTCAAAGGGGTCTTACCCGGGGGGATGCTGGGGGCACCGAGGTTTAGCTGTGGCATCTCTAGCTGGAAAGAGAGTATCTGGGGGTTGCCTGTCCCCAGGGCATCTCCAGTGGGGCCCGTCCATGCACGGGACTGTCCCCAGTGGGGATCCAGACAGGGGTGGATGTCACTCTGTGGTACTCAGAGGGTCTCTGGTGGGTGCTGGGGGTCACAGTGGGGGTCTGCCCTGTGCCCAGAAGGTCACAAGTGGGCACTGGGGGATCCATCCTCAGGCTGGGGATCATGGGGGGGGGGGGGGTGTCTGCCCATACCCAGTGTGTCCCGCGTGGGCACAGGCGGGTCCTCCCCAGCCGTGTGGAACACGGTGAGGGGCTGAGGGGCTGCCCGTGCCCGGAGTGTGGGGCAAGCACCGGGGTCCATCCCTGCGTGAGGACCAGACCCGAATGGCGGGGGGTCGTGAGGACCGAGCCGAGCCGAGCCGGGCGAGCAGAGCCGAGCAGAACCGAGCAGAGCCGGGTAGTACCGAGCACAGCCGAGCCGAGCACAGCCGAACTGGCCCGAGCCGAGTAGAGCCGGGCCGAGTAGACCCGAGCCGGGCCGAGTAGATCCGAACCGAACCGAGCCGAGCCGAGCGCAGCCCATCTCGGCTGCCACCCGAGCGAGGCGGCGGGGCCGTCCCGAGCGGCAGGGGGCGGCGCGGTGCCGCTCCCGCCTTCCCTGCGCGTCGGAAACATGGCGGCGGCGAGGGACTGAGCAGCGGCCGCGCAGGTGAGGGGGAGCGGGGGGCGCGGTGCGGCCCGGCCCGGTGAGGCGCTGCCGGAGGCCGGGCGGGGAGGTCGGACGCTCGTGCTCCGCGCTGGTCAGCGCGACAGGCCCCGGCCCGGCATGGATCCCTCCTGTCAGCGCGGCCCGGCCGCCGCCTTACCCGCGGGGCCCGGCTGCGGCCTGTCACTGCCGGCACCTGTTGGTGCCCCTCAGGGACCCCCCTCCGGAGCCTCCCCGGTCTCGCACGGCTGCCCGCAGCCGCCTCTCTCCGGCCGAGCTGTAGCGCCCGGTGAGGCACCTCCGAGGGGCTTTGTTGTTCTTCCAGGTGTCCCCGGGCAGGGCTCTGCCAGCGCGGGGGGGGGGGGACGCCCGGGGCCGAGCTCCTGTGGCGGCAGCACCGGGCCGCGGTTACCCCGTTCCCCCGAGGGCCTGCGGGTGGTTTGTGCGGAGCGCAGCCTGCCCTGCTCCCCCCTGCGCTGGGCGTTATCTGCCGGACGCTTCTTGCGTGGAAAGGGAAGCGAGACCGAGGTGCTGGAGGATTTCTCGGAGGTGCCCTCTCTCCCCGCCTGCGGGTAGTGCCCGGGGGAGGCTTTTGGCCCTCCAGGACATCAGTGGAAGCCTCCTGTAACCCCGGTGCGCTGGGGAAGTGGGCAGCGATGCTCTGAGCGGGACCCGCCGCGAGGACCCCGACACTGAAAGGCGTCCAGGGTGATCCCAGGGATGGGATGGAGAAATCCCGTAACCACCATCCGCAGGGAACCGTCTGTGCTTCCTTCTCAGCCCCATCGAGTTGAACGCTGGAGATGAGCTGGGAGTAAGACAAGATCTGAGCGTTTTTGCACAGTGAGGTATTTAAGAACACGGCGTCAGGCTGGCTCCTGCCGCACGTTTGGCTCTTTGAAGCTCCTGTGTGACACCGTGGCACCAGTTTGGAGCCTTGACAATTAGAGAATGAGAACAGGCGGCCTAAGTTTGGGATGCGCCGAGCAGCTTGGCTCTTTTTGGCCTCACATGCTTTCTAAGCTCAGCAGCTGGATCCTAACCTAATCGTTTCCATGGGTAAAGGCAGGATGTGGAGACCCAGCTCCGGGGTACCCAGCTTTGATTTTTGGCTCCCTTTCTGTTTACTGTTGTTGTTGATAGCAAGCACTGTGCACTGAGTGGCTGAGAACAGCCATGTGGTAGCTCCTCCTCGGCAGCCAGTAATAGTGGGGAAAACACTCTCCCACCTCTGTTCAATTGCCTGAGCGAGTTGTACAGAGCTGCTGCGGCTGCCTCTCCTCTTCCTCCCCTTCCTTCTCCCCTCTCTCCTCTCTTCCTTCCTCTTTCTCTCAGCCTTCCTCTTCTTTTACCCTCACACCTCAGCTGGCCCGAGCCGTGATGTCCCCATGCACTTGCTGGAAATCTTTGGACTATGGGATGCTGGTTTCATACCTCCCTTGTGCTTCACAGCGAGCTCAGTGCTAAACCTGTGCTCAGGACAAGCTGCCGGGGGCTGCAGGTTGGGGAGTTCAGGACGTGCCCAGCAGATGGTATGAAAATGCAGAAATAGGGGAATCCTTTACGATGGTGTGAGGAAATACAGATGTTCCTGTGCTATTTAAAGTATTTGTTGTATGAAAGGTTAAAGTGTGCTTTGAGATACACTGACCCTCATCTTCCTTTTTTGGTGTTTACATCTTAGGAAATGCTAAAGCTGCATCTTTATGGTCTGCTTTTTAGTCTAATAGTCGGTATTAAATCAGGTGGTTAGTTAATGAAAAGAAAGCAAATGTAGGGTTTGGAAAAAGAGCATGAGTGTCATCCCCTGCACATTATGAGCTGTGCCCCCTGGCTTTCCTGTGTCTCAGATTTTAATGTTTGAGTCGCTTCTCTGGAAACTTGGTGACTTTTGCAGCATAGTTTGGTGTCTTTAAATGAAAGATGCTGTTGGGGTATAAAGTGGTCATGTTCTTCATCAAACAGCTGTGTTTCAGACTGGATGTGAGTAGTATGGGGGTTGTGTCCTTGCTGTGTATCTAATTTAAAGGCATCTCTGGCACTTTGTTTCATAGCCTTGGACATTGTCTGGTGAGGAGCCCCAGAGCCAGCCCAGGATAAGGTCAGGTCCACATCTGAACCCTTCCTGAGTAAAGCTGCTTCTTTTAAGGCCCTTCCTGCTGGCAATTTCACATCCTGTATGTGAAGTTGCACACATGATGCACGCTGACACTTGGGCCTCCTTGCCAAGAGAGAGAGTTTATGGGGTTTAATTGAAACCTTTGTCTTGAGCTTCAGGCCTGTTCCTTCCTCTCTGATCTCCAGGGCACATGGAGGACATTCTGCTCCTGACATCTCTGTAGTTCATTTGAAGTCTTTTTCTTCCTCTTCCTAAGCAGAACAAGCTCTGTTTCTCTGCTCTTTTCACATGGGTTTGATCTCTGCCCCTCTCTGGGCTCTCCTTAAGGCACTGTGGTCAGGCTGAGCTTGGCAGGACCGTGTTAATGGGGTAATCGTATAAGTGGGCCCAAAGGACCCTGTTTTGGGTACATGTAAGCACTGTTATGTGAAAGAATGATCAGATGTTTGCATGTTAAACTGTGCATTTGTGGCAAAGGACTTGGCGTGCTCAGTGAGCTCCAATGTGTACAACCTGGAGTAGCGTGCTAGCAGTGTGGGCTCAGAGCTGGTGTAAGTTAAAGCTTGGCATGTTTGAGTCTCTTAAAGCCATAATGTTTGTATCTCACCCCCTGCCTTTGTTCCGTTTCTTTTCCTTGGCTGTAACTGAATGCAGTTTGTGATGAGACAAACAGATCTCTAGTAGCTCCCTCGACCATTTGTGTTTGCAAAGTTTCCTAACAGGGTGGCCTGCAGGAGTAAAGCAAGAGGCACTAAGGGCAGAGTAGCAGCTCTGGCTGCCAGCTGCTCTTGCAGGGTGGTTAATTTCCTGTAATACTACTATTTTGTATAGCTCAGTAACATGCCCAGGTAAAAAATCATCCCTACAATTAAACTCTGTGTAACAGAACGGTAACTCTGACCCCCTCTTCCAACCCAGCATTACACCCTGGTGTAGCATGTGCCCTCCAAGCTGCAGGACATGAGCAACACTGAAGAGAAGCTGCGTGTAGATCTCAGAACGGCTTCCAGCATCTGAAGGGTGCTGAAGAGGAACTCTTCATCAGGGACTGTAGTGGTAGGACAAGGGCTGATGGGTTCAAACTGAAACAGGGGAAGTTCAGGTTAGATATAAGGAACCTCTTCCCTGTGAGGGTGCTGAGGCGCTGGCCCAGGGTGCCCAGAGAAGCTGTGGCTGCCCCGTCCCTGGCAGTGTTCAAGGCCAGGTTGGACAGCCCTTTGGGTGACACGGTCTAGTGTGAGGCATCCCTGCCCATGGCAGCGGTTGGAACTGGATGAGCTTTCAGGTCCTTTCCAACCCAAACCAGGCTGGGATTCCACGATTTGCAGGATGCCAAGGTCTAGTCATATTTTTAATATATTTGTAAACAACTTTCTTACCAAGCTGAACAGTGGAGACTTACAAAAAGCTTGCTCAGTGTTTAAAGTGATAATGAGAGTCTGAAAGGAGTGGGAAGCACATGGGATCTGCTGTGTGTATCACCAGGTCTCACTGGGCTTGGAGCAAACAGGTCTTGTCCACATCGGTGTCCAACCAGTATGTGGTGGGGGGCACCTGAGCACTGGGGGTCACCAGCACCTCTTGTTGTGAAGCTTTGCTCCTTGCTGCCTGTCCTGCAGAGCCAGCTCTGTTAGCTCAGCTGTGAGCTCTCACCAAGCCGAAGGAGAGGTCAGGACCAGGGACATGGCTGCAGCCTGGCTGGTGCTGGAAGCTTTCATTCCCAGAGATTTCCATCTGCATTAAATGCCCTTTAAACCCCAGAATAATGCTCAGCTCTTCTGCAGAGGTTTCTGACAGCCGTCCCCCCAGCAGATGTGGATGCTGTGATGTACAGTGGTGCAATCAGCAAGGTTTGCTGAGACACCTACCAAACATTTCTGCTGCTGGAGCAGGGGTTTCAGCAGAGTTGGTGCCTGTGCATGGCCTCGTGGCTTTATGCATACTCATCCTGAGTGAAAATCAAGAATTTGCCTGTGAACTGAAGGAAGAGATTCACTTTTTTGGCTGCTTCTGCTGTTTGTGTGGCAGCTTGGTCCCACAGGCCAGGTGGATGGAGGGGTGTCATAAGCTGCTGTCTACCAGCACACCTCTTGCTGAGATCTATGTAAGTCACTCTTGCAGCTCCACTGGTCACTGGAGATAAGGAAATGAGCAGAAATGTTGTTATGGCCATTAACCAGTATGATATAGAAGTGACTTGAGAGTTCAGCGCTGTTTGTTTCCCCCTCTCATCCCTCTCCATTCCTTGCTCACAGGTTTTTTGGTACGTGTTGTAAATCAGATGGTAGCAGCAGCTCAGATCCTGCCTCCTTTGGAGGTGCCTCTTCCCAGCTGACATGCTCTGAGTAACTCTTAGGTTTTCCAGGCTGACACAGTGTGAACACTCCAGAAGCCTCCCTGTGGCTCCGGTTTGTTTTTAACAGCGGAAACCGTAGTAGATGCCAGTGGAAATTTGTGAAGTTCCTTCTTTGCCCGTGGAGAAACATGAGATTCCTCCCTCTCCCAGGGAGGAATGTCCAGTGCTGTGCTGGACACTGCTTCAGGTCCCTTCTACTGGATGTGGTGAGGAGGCAACACATTTGGTTCACAAGCTGCTGGAGCTGCGTCTGCTGGCAGTTTGCTAGGGGTAGATGCACCCTTCGGAGCTCCTCTGGAGTACTGCTGATGTTTGGCTCCAGGGAAAAGTCCTGCTGGGAAGAGCAGTTGCTTTCCAGCAAGGAATTTGTGTCTGGGATGGGGGAGGAGCTGGAGGAAGCTCGTGCTGTTTGTCTCAGTTCAGCACTGACAGAGCACTGCGCAGAGGGAAAAGCGCAGCCTGAGTGAGCTGCGGCCTCTTTGGATGCCGTTTGCCATCACCCTCCTGCCGCCCGCCTGGAAGAGGCAGCACTGCCAGTGCTCAGAACCGGCTTTTAGCCATCCTGACCTCCCCTTTCTGTGTTGGCTGCACTTTATCCCCTGCTCCTGGGCCTCTCTTTCCCTCCCCTGTTCCTCCCATCACGCTGAGTGTTTGAAGTGGTGGGACATGCTTCCAGCTGTGCCTCCAACGAACGGGGGGGAGTGATTTGTGTTCCCTCCCTGCTCCCTCTGGGAGAGCTTCCTGGGGCTGCCTGCCAGAGGCTGCTGCCCTCCCAGTGTCCCCAGCCGCAGGGAGGCCTTAAGAGCCCAGCCAGGCTGCACACACATTGTGGGGGGACAGGGACGAGCTCCAGGCTTGGCTGTGGCTCCTGGAACACTATCCACACCATGCTGCTTTATGTCCCTGAAACCAGCTGGGCTGCAGAGGTGCCTGTGTTAGGGTGAGGTTGGCTCCCCGGCTTGGGTTGAATGTGCTGTAAGGGCTCTGCAGTGTGTCAGGGCATCATCTGGTGTCCTCTCCGTGCTGCCACTGCAGGAGCACCTCCCCTCCCTGCACCCCTCTGTTGCTGCAGCGTGGCCATTCCTGCCCAAGTGGCACATGGAAGGGGGGAGGAATCCCTGCTCTCTGCAGGCAGGGTGTTACTTGAGGCAAAGTAAGCAGGCAGAAGGGCTTGGTGTGGACCAAGGAGGAAGTTGCACCAATTGCACTTGCTAAAAATAAGCTCTCCACACGCTGCCTCTTTGCTCTGGGGCTTTTTTTGGTCTTGTTCCAGCAAATTTAGACAAAAACGCTCCAGCCCATCAAATCCTGCAGTGGTTGTGTGCTGTGTGATCAGGTATGTGCTGATGGAGGAAGTCTTGGTTGTTTCGGTGTCTCTAGAAGTGACCTTGAAGGTTTACCTGCCCGCAGTGTTTCCTAGAGCTTTGCCTAAGCTGTTCTTAAAGATTTCCAATGCTGGTGATTCACTTTCCTGAGCAGACTCCTGCAGTGCCTGACTCTTTGGATGATTAAGGAGCTTTGCTTGATTTCAGGCTGGGATTGCTGTACTTTAACCCCATCATTTTGACATTTCACCTTCTCTCTGGCAGGCTACCAAAGAACCAAGCTGTGAATGTAAGAGCAATCATTTGTATAGAGGCTGATCTTCCTTCCCACCTTTCCCTTCTGTGTGCAGTGTCTGCTGGCTCTCCTGTATTTAATAACACATCTGTGGTGGCCAGGAAGCCCATGTCCCAGTTGCTTGGATTGTACTGGCCATAACTGTCCTTGCTGTGTGCTGATGTCAGGGAGAACGTGGTGCTCGAGGTGAGGTGTGTTTTGTTAACACTGAACATCACAATTCCCCCGTTGTCTCATGTAGCACCTCTCTGTCTTGCAGAGGCTTTGCATACTTATACATTTGATCAAATCAACAAGATGACCTAAAAAGTTCCATGACTTCAAAACATCACCTAGAGCTGCTGCTGCTGACGATGCCGAGTAGTGTCACCATGGCTTAGTAGGAAGGAGCAGAACGTTGTTCTTTGTTGGGGTGGGTTTTGTCTCTTTAGCCTGTGATTGAGCATTCTATGAAGTGTGCATCTGCAGCTGATGTCCTGTCCCTCTCCAGGCCACGAGCATTCTCATAACATATTCATGTCAGTCATTGCTGGAATTGTCAGGATGCATTTCAGGGCGAGATCTGCAGTTCTGCACTATGGGCTGTGATGGTTTTCCTCACAAAGGGTTTAAAAAGGGACAAGGCACTCTCAGGTTTTTCCTGGGATGAGTTACTCGTGGCAGAGCCTGGATTCCTGCCCATAGAGCAGGAATGATACTGCAGCTGTCTGCATTGCATGAAGAGCTCTGTAACAGTTACCCTGCTTCTTACTGTGTTTTCTAGCTACTAGTATGTGCCGAGTGTTAACTCCAGGGCTCATGTTTCCCTGCTTTGTGGTGTTTTACCAGAAGCATGTGACTGTTCCTGCAGCCCTTAAGAGAAGGCTCCTTAAGGGGAGACCTCAGAGCAGCTCCAGTGCCTAAAGGGGCTGCAGGAAACCTGGAGAGGGGCTTTGGACAAGGGCCTGTAGGGACAGGCCAAGGGGAATGGCTTGAACCTGCCAGAGGGGAGACTGAGATGAGCTCTTAGGCAGAAGCTCTTCCCTGTGAGGGTGCTGAGGCGCTGGCACAGGGTGCCCAGAGAAGCTGTGGCTGCCCCATCCCTGGCAGTGCTCAAGGCCAGGTTGGACACAGGGGCTTGGAGCAAGCTGCTCTAGTGGGAGGTGTCCCTGCCCATGGCAGGGGTTGGTGCTGGATGAGCTTTGAGGTCCCTTCCAGCACAAACCGCTCTGTGATTCTATGATAAAAGCATGATTTTAGACCAGCAAAAGTTCTGATGTCTGCAGGCCAGGCAGGAATCTGAGGAGCTGAGACTGGTGTGGAAACCAAAGGAGGCAGAAGTGTTCCAAATTCCGTGCTGACAGCCCTTGTTTCTCAAGTAACCTGAAAGTGCCCCACCATAGAAATGAAAAATGGCAATAAAGAGCTGTTCAGTGAGCAGGACGAGGTGGTTTCTCTACATCTGCTCTCATGGCTCTATGCCTGTTTCCTCATTGGGTCAGGATGTAACTGGCTGCTCTCATGTAACCCAGTGCCCATAAGGGCTTCCAGAATGGAGCTGTCACAGGACCCAGCACAGCCTGAGCCCCATGCTGGGAAGCTGGGATGAGAGCACTGGCATCACCCCTGTTGGGCAGGGACTTAAGAGTGCTGCCCTCCCATTTCCCAAGGGAATTTTATAGGGAAGAACTCTTTATTATTGGAAAAATTGGTAATGTTTGATGGGAAGATCCCTGTGAAGGAGAAGTTGAAGCAGAGGTTCTGTGGAAGGGGTTTTAGGAGCTGGACTGCTCATGGTGCTTGAGACCCACGTTCTTGTGGGGAAACAAATCAACGGCCTTTTTTGCATTATGAGAAACCATCAGGATTCTCTTGTTGCTGTCCCATGGGATTCCCAGGCAGCATCATTCTCACAGTCCTCTGGCAATATGCACAGTTTCCTTCTTCTTTTCACCCTCCTAATCTGTGGGGCTTGTATCCAACCCCATAAAACCATTTTCCAGCCTCGCTGTTGGGAGTTTTCTTCCTCTCCTTTCTGAAGATGTCTTGCCTGCTGGCAACTACATTGTCCAGAGAGGTTTGAAGCTTGGCACGCTGTCAACAAAACTTCAGTTGCCCTTTCAGTCAATCACAGTAGTGCTGTGAAGTGCCTTGGCCTTCAGCCCATGGGTCACCAGAAGCTTCCTCATATAATAGGAAGTCCAAACAACCCCAGGAAACCATTCTGATGTGAGTGGGGCCTTTAGTGGAAGAAAGAAGTGCTTAGAAGAGCCATTAAGAACCTCAGCTTAACTCTTTTCATAATTATGCACTCCAGAGGAGCAGAGGCTTTGTGGATAAAGAGATTACATGCGTCTGATGAGGTCTGGGGAGATGTGACAGCAGCTTCTACCCACACTTTCTCCCTCCTTGTTTTACTGCTGCTGCAGTCACAACATTGACTGGAAGGATATTGCAGAGCAAGGCTGCCTCATAGCTGCGAAGGTCCCTTGCAGCCTGGCACAGGTAAATTGGATCATTCTTCCCTTAGGGCTGATAAGGATGAGCTTTTGGAAGAGCAGTGTGGGGAGAACTTAATTAGATTAAGTTGCATGTCCTGGATGTGTGTGCTGAGGGATGTGGCTGTTGGAGAGACCAGCCATAGGAGGTAAGGACACCCTGGGATGCTCTTCCCATCCCTGCCTGGCTCTGGGCTGCCTTTATCCTTTGAACAAGAAAAAGGAAAATACATCTGAGGTGTAAATCTCAGTGTAAACCAGAGCAGGGGTAACAAAACTGGGTCTCATGCTGGTGTCCTGCCTCTGGCTGTGACCCGATGCTGGCAGCCAGGCAGGAGTGGAGGAGCTCAGCTTTTTCTGGCCAAAGCAGGGCTGGAGCAACCTGGTCTGGTGGAAGGTGTCCCTGCCCATGGCAGGGGGTTGGAACTGGATGATCTTAGGTCCTTTTCAACCCAGATCAGTATGTGATTTAACCTGCCAGAGAGGAGACCGAGATGAGCCCTTAGGCAGAAGCTCTTCCCTGTGAGGGTGCTGAGGCACTGGCACAGGGTGCCCGGAGAAGCTGTGGCTGCCCCATCCCTGGCAGTGTTCAAGGCCAGGTTGGACACAGGGGCTTGGAGCAAGCTGCTCTAGTGGAAGGTGTCCCTGCCCGTGGCAGGGGTTGGAGCTGGATGAGTTTTAAGGTCCCTTCCAACACAAACCAGGCTGGAATTCCCTGAAAATGCAGGAGCTGATGGGGTCTCCCCACTCTCACTCAGCTGTTTCTTGGGCTGGCAGTGCCAGTGGCTCTGTGCTCCGATGCGATTACAAATGCGGGTTTACTTTTGAATGTGTACTTTTTTAGTGTCACTTACTTACTTGTCTTGATAACGGCCTCTATGAGAATGTTATCAACACCATGTTGCATGTCTGTGAGCTTCCCATACACACATTTCCTTCTCCCTGCTATATACTTCCAGTGTTTCAGTGCTACAGTTTGCCCTGCTGCATTGGGGAAGGGAGAATTTGACATCCCCGATTCACTCCCTTCATGCTCTTCATTATTTATATGCCTCTCCTGTGGTCTCTCTTCTTTTTATTCTTAATCAGCTCTAGTCTTTTAAATCCTTCTTTGTGTGATAGTTTCATTCTACAAAGGCTGAACTAGTTTGTAGCAGCTCGGCTGATGTGATCTTGCTCATCTCCAAGGTGTTTAACAGCACCGTGTACCCACCACAAGCTGCACTTAAATTGTGTCAAGTCCTGCGCTGCTTCGCTATGGGAAGGGGGAATGTTTGTTGCAGCTGCCTTTCAATTTAAATTTGGATGTTTTAAATGAATTAAATATGAACATGAATAATGCAAGCGGTAACCCAGCCTTTCTGCAATGAAATGCAGACTTCTGCGTTTTGTCTCTCTGCTTCCAGGTTTTGATATGCCGCAGTGTTTGGACTGACTTTGGTGGCCTGTAGGAGTGATGGGGAACTAGAGCCCATGACAGTTCAGAGGAGCCCCTGGCACTTTTGAGATCTCGGTGAGTGGAAGTTGTTTAAAACTCTGGGAAAGGCACTTTACCTGCTGCGAAAGGCAGCATGTCACTTGGCCTTTATAGATTGGAAGGGATTGAAATCAACTTGCACATTGAGCTGTTCTTTGAGGGTGTAACCCTGAAATCAACACCACATAAAACTGTGGTCCGTGCTTCCAGGGTTGTCTTGCTGTCTGTGAGCATGAGAAATACAGTGCTGGAAGAAGAGGGGAGTTTTAACTGGGATACACAGCTCTGTACAAGTGTCAGGTTTGGAGGTAGAGTATTGCATGTGCTGGGCTGGGTAAACCTCCAGTGCTTCATTTGATGCAAAAGTGCCTCTGTGTCATTGACCCAGCTGACAGGGTCTCAGCAGGGGTGTGTGTCTGGGGTCACTGTCCATGCAGACAGCTCGCTTTTCCCCCTCAGATACCACACAGTAGCTTCTGCTATTCATGACTCTAAGATCTTTTTCTAGTCTCCAGTCCCTGAGCAGTGCACAGGCCACGTCCATCCATCCTGCAGTGCCTGTTCTGCTGATTGCTTTCATCCCTCTAGACTGAAGTCTTCTTCACTTGGGTGTTACAGGCTTGCCAAAGCCTACAGGGCAGCTCCACTTGACTTCCAGTCAGGTGTCAGTGAGATGAAATCGTAGGGTATTTCGGGTTGGAAGAAGAATGGCTCTAAGCTGAAAGAGGAGAGATTGAGATGAGCTCTTAGGCACAAGTTCTCCCCTGTGAGGGTGCTGAGGCACTGGCATGGGGTGCCCAGAGAAGCTGTGGCTGCCCCATCCCTGGCAGTGTTCAAGGCCTGGTGGGACAAAGGGGCTTGGAGCAAGCTCCAGTGGAAGGTGTCCCTGCCCGTGGCAGGGGTTGGAGCTGGATGAGTTTTAAGGTCCCTTCCAACCCAAACCAGGCTGGGATTTTATGAATTTCTGGAGTTGTGTGGTCCAGCCCCATGTGCAGAGCTGGGAGGAAGTCAGACCCAGCTTCAATGTTGGACCAGGCTGCTCAGGATGGTCCCCGGGGATACTTGGAGTATATCCAAGGATGCAGATTTTCCAGCTTTGCTGGGCAGCTATTGAATGAAATCACAGCCAGTGGGAATTGCCAAGCCCCGTGTCAGTAAAGCCTAGTTTATACCAGTTGCAGGAGGGCACACGGGCTGTGTCTCTGTGGGTAAAGAGCCTTGTGCAGCAACTGGTCCCTGTCCCTGGGAGGCTGATGGCTCCTGTCTGCAGGGCTAGTGGGACAAAAACACTCAGTGTGGAGTCTGGCTCCAGCTCTTCCCTGGGCATTACATATCCCTGAGGCACAATAATCACTTACCATGGGGTTTTCCATGTTTGAGTCAACGATTTTTGCAGGCTAAAACCCTGTGCTGCCATCCTGTGTTGTGAGAACGTCTTTGGCAGCTGATGGTGTGTGGTGCTGGAGCACTGCGAAGGGTGGCAGGAGCCAGGCTGGGACCATCTCCTTTGGACAGGTTCTTGGGAGCATATTTTGGAGAGTGCAGTCCCCAGGCTGGCACCCTCCACAGAGCTGGAGTCCCCATGCAGCCCAAGTCACCTCCTTTGGGGAAGGGTCACCTTCTGTTGTTGTTTTTTGATAGGAGCACCATCTAAATGTCTCATTCCCCTCCACCGCATGCTGGGAGCCCACTGGCTGAGGGACCAGCACCCATCTGTGCACCTTACACATAGCTGGAGTTACTCCTGTTGCTGTCTGTGTGAGGATAAGGGATGCAGAAGTTTCACCTCCCAGGCCACAGCTTGAGCATCTCACACACGGCCAAACACTTCAGCAGGGAAGGCTGCACATCCCTGCGGCAGGGCTCCGAAGTGCTCAGGCTGAAGGAGCTTTTCAGAAGCATCTGAGTAGCACAGGAACACCCATCCCAGGCCAGACTCATGAGATTTATGATCCGTGTTTAGGTACTTCAGCCAGACTCATGTCTGAGCAGAGCAGGGAGCAGAGGTGAGGAGCCAGAGATGGTGAATGCATGTCTGGTGCCTTTACATAAACCCCTTTCACCCTGGGGGGACTCTCCCTACCATGACTGCTGGCTTTTAATAAAAATGCCTGGAGAAAATGATGAAGAGAAGCATTAAAAGTTGTAAATAAGCTTTCACATGTAGATTACCTTCTGCTACTGAAAGCAAAAGAAACTTAACTCCTTTCACAAGTGTGCACAAACACGCTATTTATGAGAGCAGCAATGAGAGGCTCCTGTGTGCCTTTTGATTTGGATTAAAAAACAACTAGGTTGGCTTTTTTTTCCTTTAGCATTTAATATTCTTTTAGTATTTTCCATGTCAGGGTGTTGCTCAATGTTGCAAGCACTGCACTTCAAGGCTGTAGTTTGTAGCTGGGTTTCCAAATCAAAGCCTCTCGCCAAGTTGGATCTGTGAATAACCCTTGAAGCAGAAACTTGTGTCCCCAGCCAGCTTCCTTGCACATCCTGCAGCCTGACTGCCCCACTGTGAGTAACATGGAGTGAGAGTCACACAATTCATCTTTCATTAGTTAAGGCAGTGTCAAACATGCTCTTACCACTTTCCAAAGGGCTTGTTTGTGGCTCAGCCATCCGTTTTGGTACCGGGCTTCGTGGATATGTCCAGCTCTCACCTCCCCACAGCTCTGATTTTCAGTACCATTCTTCTAAGCAGAGGAAGAAAGCAACTGTTCAACTGCCCATTCTCGCTGGGGACAGTCCAGCCAGTTTTCCTCCAACCAGGAGAAGAGGAAATGCAGCACCACTTGGCCACTGATTGCAGTCCTAACAGCAAAAATGTTTCCTGGCTCTTTGTCCAATTTCTCATCCTTATTACCCAGAACTGCTGTGAGCAATTTGAATTGCAAGTGGTGAGCTGGGCTTTGCAGTGCTGCTTTGCCAGAGTTAATGTTGTGTTTCCATGTGGTTTCTTCCATACATTTCAGCTCTGCCTCCCTTTGTTAGTGCTGGGGAAGAGCCCCCCTGTGCCACGAACCCACCCGGGACCTGCAGCAGTTAACACAGACACTGGCATGTGCTCCTCTCCCTGGGTTCTGCTGCTTCCACTGCTGTACATTTGAAGTTGTCCACATAATGGAGAAAGACTTGTAGATTGAGGGGGGTTGGAATGAATTGTCTGTGTTCAGTAGGAGATGTTCTGCTCAACCCAGGGTGAAAGAGCATCTATTTTCTCCCCACTGTGTGATTAATGTTGCACATGACTGTGTGCTCCAGAATGGGGAATGGTCTCATGTGTGTTTCTTTTCTCCTAGACATCTTCAGTTATCCAAAAGGCAGCCAGTCCCAGGGTAAGGACAGCAGCAGGTGATAGAATGCGGAAACCAGGCCCTCAAAAAGGTGAGCACTGATGCTTGGCACAGCCACAAGCCCAGGAGAGACTGGTCCTGAGCAAAGGACCCAGCACAGCATGAGGACAGCAATGGGGTGGGAGCACAGGGGACGTGTGGGCACAAGTTTGAGCCGCTTGTTTCCCCGGCAGTGTGCAGAGAACCCTTCACCCAAGCAGGTGGAGGAGGAGTCCCTTGATGGGTGCACCCCTGCAGTTCATGGGCTACAGTGCTGGGCAGTGAGGGTGTTCTGGTGTATGAGCACACACCACCTGCCTGTGCTCCCAGCGTGAGGCAGACAGCTCCTGTGCTGGCACAAGCCTTCCCCTTCTAATGAGGCGTGAAAGCAAAGCCCAGCCTACCTCGTGGGGATGGCATCTGGTACTTTACCTCTGGCCACCCGAGTCTCTTCCCTGTTCCACGCAGCAGCAGCCGCACGTGCACTCCCCGTGCTCCCCCCAGCTCAAGTGGGAAGCTGTGGGGCTGCTGCAGCTGAGCTGCTCGGGCTCCTTGTGCTTAAGAGGGCTATTGATTTCCTTCAGCCTTGTGCCACGCGTGTGTGTTGGACCGGGGTGATCTCATCACATGTGCCTGGGAGGATGGGGGAAGGGAGCAGCTTAGAGGATGGAGCATCCTCCGCAGTGCTTTGTTCACATCTGCTGCACACTCACCAGGTTTATTGCACGAGATTTCTATGCTCCGTTTCTCTCCTCCCTTTCTTGTGTTTTAAACATCTTTGCTTCTCTGGTGGCTCCTCTCACTGCTTGTCCTTTAATGAAGTGCAAATAAATGAAGGCGAGCAGGGGATGGGGGAAGCAGGCTGTGAGGCAGCTGCAGGGCTGGGAATCAAAGAGCCACGTTGATTGTCAGCGCTGTGGCCTCGGGCCTGGCTGCACACGGCTTCTTCCCTTCCTCAGGAGCAGGATGCCTCAGCCCAGTGCTGTGGGACCTGTGCTAGGCCATAGGTTACAGCAGCAACACTTGGGTTTGTGTCCTACTTACCTGCTGTTTTAATAATGCATTGAACTTTCGCTTGTTCATTTGCCTGCAGAAATTCTTGCTTCTCTTGCTCTCTCCGCTGCTTTTCCTGCCTGCTTAATGAGGAGTTTTGCATGTTAAAGGTGAAGAATAAAATAGAACTTCTCTAGCAGAGTATGGCAAGAGGTTACTTGGAGTGTGCAGATGCTGTTAGAGTTATCCAGCAACACCGGGAGGAGCCTTACCCATCCACGGGGGCTTTTTTGCTTCTGGCTTAAATACTTTGTGTCCTTTAGTCTTGCTTTCTTGAGGAGATGGCAGAATACTGTCCCTCAAGGGAATTGTTCTTCCACCCTTTTCATTCATTTCAGGGAATCCCAGACTGGGATTGGGTTGGAAGGGACCCTGAAGCTCATCCAGCTCCACCCCCTGCCATAGGCAGGGACCCCTTCCACTAGAGCAGCTTGCTCCAAGCTCCTGTGTCCAACCTGGCCTTGAGCACTGCCAGGGATGGGGCAGCCACAGCTTCTCTGGGCACCCTGTGCCAGCGCCTCAGCACCCTCACAGGGAAGAGCTTCTGCCTAAGATCTAACCCAAACTTCCCATGTCTTGGTGTAGTGAAACCCACATGAGCCAGTTTGTTCCTTTTGAGCTTTGCCACTTCTTCATGTTAAAATAATGGAGCTTCACCCGTTTGCTGTTTCTTAGGTTACTGCTTGCCACTGTGGGAGGACACTGGTTGGTGAGTTCTGGGCAGAGACTAAGATGCAAATGCAGATACCTCAAGTCAGGCCTTCTCCCTGCTTCAATCACACCCCGTAGGTTTAGACAAATGATCCATGTTACCTGGCTCATGACAAGGCCAGGGAGGTCAGTCCTCTCCTCTGAAGTGCCTGCAGAGCCCGTGCCTTGGGCAGATAATGTTCAAGAGCATTGGCTGCTTTCACTGACACAAACACTTTGTCTCTTGTCTCAGCCATAGACTGGAAAGATGGTAAAAAGCACAAGTACGGCCGCCCATCAGAGTCCCCCTCCCAGTACCAAGGTAAGAGAGCTCCCTGCTCCCCTCCTCCGCTTTTCCCCTTCTCCTCATCTTCTCTCCTTCTCCCCCCCCTCCTTCCCCCCTCCTTCTTTTTCTCCCTCTCCCCCTCTCCCATTGTGTTTATTTTCTCCTGAAAGCTTTTTGAGTTGTTGGGATGTGGGAAACTGCAAATGCTGATTTAGATTACAGATAAAAACTGCTTTTGGACAGCCCTCATGTGAGTCCTCATGTGGTTAATTCTGACCACGATCAGAACTGGCCAAGAAGACACTGGGGTGAGCCCAGAGCTGAGCTAGCTCGTTTGAAACCAGCCAGGATCCAGCAGATCTGTTTCTTCCTCAGCTACAAGTGCTGAGGGGTGACTCTGCCCTTCTTTTTCCATGCACTTGGGGCATAAGGAACTTCTGAACTCTCCATACACTCCCCTTCCATGTTCACAGCAGTGGCTAGCCCAGGCCTCAGTTTTGTAGGAGAGACATGGTATGGCCCATGGAAGGATCCCTAGAGCAGCTGCCAGTGTTGACACGAAAGCTGGAGAGGGGCTTTGGACAAGGGCCTGTAGGGACAGGCCAAGGGGAATGGCTTTAACCTGCCAGAGGGGAGACTGAGATGAGCTCTTAGGCAGAAGCTCTTCCCTGGGAGGGTGCTGAGGCGCTGGCACAGGGTGCCCAGAGAAGCTGTGGCTGCCCCATCCCTGGCAGTGTTCGAGGCCAGGTTGGACACGGGCTTGGAGCAAGCTGCTCTAGTGGAAGGTGTCCCATGTCATTGGAGATGAGGCATCCCCAGCACAGGCAGGGAGGGTTGTGGCGCTGTGCTCAGCTCCTGCCGTTCCTCAGGGGGGATGCAGGTGACTTCCAGCTTTAGGAAGTTCACGTAAGGCTTGTGTAATTAATAGTTTTTAGGGCCTGTATTTTACTTACAGAGCATAAGAAGGTGATGTCTTTATGTCCTTACATTCTGCCTGTCTCCTTAAGGGAAGCGATGTCCATACTTCCCACCAAGTTGAGAGCAACAGGAAACGAAACAATTGCCTGAGCTAAGCCATTTTAGCAGGAAATATGTGTTTGCCTTTGGGAATTCTCTTCTGTGTGTCATAGAGCCCTTAGGAGAGCTGCAGTAGCTGCTGTGCTTCGGGGGGTGGCACTCCAGGGTGTGGTTCTCTGGCACATTGTGGGCCACCATCAGCCCTCGCCATTCGCTCTTGGAGCATCTCATCTGTTCTTGTCTGCCCTCAACTTGAAGTTCTGTGGATCACAGTTTGGAATGACCTTCTCCAAGGGCAAGAAGTGTGTTAGAACCTCCAATAAAGTCCTCGCTCCTCTGTCACCGCTCGCTAAGCTCCATATGACATTATGGGGCACTGCCACAGCTCCCATGGCCTGTGTACAGTCAGTGTTTGAGGTGTTGGGGCTCTGCTGCTGTTTTCCCTCTGCACTGTGTGCGGGTGGCAGAGACTGGCTGCTGTTCAGGGGCAGCGCTGACCTGAAAAGGAGCTTTCTGGGAGCTTCAGCTTCCCCAGCAGCACTCATCCACACCAGCCACCACAGCACGCTGCATCTCAGGGCTCACTGGCCTGGGGAGGAACCTCTGCAGACAGGCTGATGGGCCCGTGTCTGCTCAACAAGCACATGGTGGAGCAGCGAGGGATCTGCTCCCTGCAAGAAGCTGAGCAGCTCCTCACTGCCCGAGGCTGGGGTAGATGTGAGGGGTGAACCTGCTCCAGCTCTCTGGCACAGAGCACCCTGTGATCCAGGCTGAAAGGATTCCTGCTTAGAGGTAAAGCTGCACTGGGACACCTCTGAGAAGCAGGAAAGCAGACGCTGTCCTGGTGGTTGAAACCTGTTTGGTTTGGCTCATGCATCCTCGCCTTTCTTCTGAGCAAGACAGTGAGTAAGTGGGGTCGTGGTGTTGGTTGTAGCTGTTACTGATGGAGAATGTGCAGCTGGATTGATGGCTGAGCAAATGGAACCATGACAGGCAGGACCTGCAGGACCTCTGCCATGGTGCTGGGAGAGCTGATCCCTGGGGAGGCTGTGCCCAGGCATTGGGATCTGCCAGCAGACACCATCCTTTGCTCATTTTCATAGCGAGCTGGCTCAGACTGTGCTGCTTTCATGTGCTGCTTGATGCTCATTAGCAGATACACATATGGGCTGCAGACTTTAATGGGATGCCTTGATCTGGGGAGGGCACGTTCTCCTTCACAGATGTGACCTGCAACGCACATGTATTGTTTCAGTTGGATTGATGACCCCTGGGGAGCTGAAATGCTAATGGGGCCCAAAGCAGGCTTCAGTTAGAGACAAACAGAAACTCTGTCTTCATTTAAATTCTGGGCAAAAGATGAACATAGATTCTCAACACGATGAGAACCTAAACACAAAGGTGCAGACTTGCAGTTCGCAGCTATGATCCCTCGGATGTGTGAAGTGTTTGGTTTGGAGTATTTTGGAAGGTTAAGCCATCAGAGCCCAGATTTCACATTCTGCCTGCACGTGCTGTCTCCCTTTGACACAAGCGTGTGGTAAGGAGCTTTCCAAATGCAAGCAAGAGTCATGGACCATTGTCCCCAGTAGGCATTTTCACAGCTGAGTTCCAGGAGTCATGCAGCTTTACAGTCCTTGGCCCTTGTTCAGCTCACAGATGCAGTTACAAACCCATGGTGTTTCTCTTTAAGTATCCTCCTCTTGTTTCTTCCTTCAAGCAGGTCTGAGGTATGGTACAGGGAGGAACTTGGTCCCTTCAGTGGGTGATCCCTCCAGTGGGTGATCCCTCCAGTTTGGGGAGTACGGTCTGCTCTGCACAGTGGGGAGGAAGTAGGGAAGAGAATCCCAGAATCCCAGACTGGTTTGTATTGGAAGGGACCTTAAAGCTCACCCAGCTCCAATCCCTGCCACAGGCAGGGACACCTTCCACTAGAGCAGCTTGCTCCAAGCCCCTGTGTCCAACCTGGCCTTGAACACTGCCAGGAATGGGGCAGCCACAGCTTCCCTGGGCACCCTGTGCCAGCGCCTCAGCACCCTCACAGGGGAGAACTTGTGCCTAAGAGCTCATCTCAATCTTGCCTCTATCAGTTTAAATCCATTAAGAAGTGGCTGGTGGTGAACAGAGAAAGAAAGGCTGAACTGCTGTATTGCCTCTGCTTTTTCTCAGTGTTTAGAGAAGTCTTTCTGCTGTCCCTTGCAAAATAAGTCCCAGAACCAAGATTCGTAAGTACCTGCAGTTCTGGTGGGATGTGTGTGTCTTCATATGGTACTTGGGTCCCAACGGAATTCATCTCAAATAAGTTCCATGTGCAAGCACTATTTTTAGAGGCCAGCAGCTGCCTCAGAGTTTGCTGCTCCTGTTGGGGCTGTGCAGCTCAGTCCCAGCTCAGCACGGTGCTGTGGGGAGCAGAGCAGCGTTGTCTGCTGTGGAGCCACTGAGAGGAGGATTAAAACCAGGACCATGTTTAATAGCGAGGATTGAAAGCAGCTGAGCAGGGGGGAGGTTTCCTCTTTAAACTAAAATAGTTGAGTGCAGCTGATCCCTTCCAAAGAGCCCTCTGCTCAGGCCCTGGGGCAGACACACGGTACTGTCACTACCAGCATTCTCTGTGCTCCACAGACAGGGGCTTCTGAAGGACCCCCCAGCCTGAGATGACCAGGTCAGCAAGTAGAGTTACGAGGAGGGATGCAAGAGGCATTGCCGTGCCTGGGCTTGCTTTGCCTGGTGTTTAGTACACATAATTCATACATTTCATTGATATGACCAAGTGTAAAATCCTTGAACCATGGAATGGTTGGAAAGGACCTTAACACCATCCAGTTCCAACCTTCCACTAGAGCAGCTTGCTCCAAGCCCCTGTGTCCAGCCTGGCCTTGAACACTGCCAGGGATGGGGCAGCCACAGCTTCTCTGGGCACCCTGTGCCAGCGCCTCAGCACCCTCACAGGGAAGAGCTTCTGCCTTTATCTAACCTGAACTTCCCTGTTTCAGTCTGAACCCATCACCCCTTGTGCCATCGCTACAGTGCCTGATGAAGAGCCCCCCTCCAGCACCCTTGTTGCCCCCTTCAGACACTGGAAGCTGCTCTGAGGTTTCCACACAGCTTCTCTTGTCCAGGCTGAACAGCCCCAGTGTTCTCAGCCTGGCTCCGTACAGGAGGTGCTCCAGCCCCTGATCATCCTCGTGGCCTCCTCTGGGCTGGCTCCAACAGCTCCACGTCCTTCTTATGTTGAGGACACCACCTTCAGGCAGCGTGGCAACGAAGCTGTGTATTTTCTGTTCATTTCCACTGTATTTAACAGTGTGTGCTCATCATCTGCATGGGAGGAGGCAAGAAAGTAGCATTGCTTTGATGTATTTGGAGCAGGGAGATTATCCAGCCCTGACAGCTTCTCTGTGCACGTGAAGCAGAACTGAAGCAACGTGTGCTGACCTTGATGCCTGAATTCTTAGAGGTGTGGTGTGCACTGCAGTAGCTAAAATGGCTCAATGTAGCTTTTGTTTTGAGAATAGGCTGATTCACAACTTGATGTGAGCAGGGGAAGCAGGAGCTGACTCTTTAATTGTGCTGCCACACATTCAATGCTCTTGAAATGACTTGCAAGCGGCGGTCTCCCGGGAGCTGTTGGGATGAATACCAGCTCGTGTCATGCTGGAAGGAGCCTTTCCCAGCTGCTCAGTTGAAATGGCAAAAGTCACAATTTGCTCAGATCACAGGAGCTTTTAATTCCTCATTTAATCCCAGGTTCCCCTGGATGACATATTGCTTTTACCCTTCCTGCTGTACATGGGAAGGGTGAGGGCAAGGATCAACGCGCTTCCTGCAGCAGCGCTCAGTGGAAAGGGCTTTGGTGTTGGGTATGAGCTGCTGTGTTCAGGGAGTCCCCATTTGGAGGATCCCTGCTTCCATCCTACCTACAGGCTCTGTGTCTGCCTCAGGAAGTGATTGCTGGGGTCGAGCTGATGCTGCTCTGAGCTGTGGGGCCACGGTGTGTGGCTGGACCAGGGAAACCGCAGCATCAGCATCAGCAGTTTCCTATTGACTTGGGCTGCTTTTAGCCCACGGGGACTGTTCTTAATCCCCAGACTGAGCCATCTCTTTAACAAATGACTTCTAAGGGGCAGTTGTCTGGAAGATTCCACAGCTCCCCATCTGTGCTGGGTATTTTATATGAAGTTGTAGGTTGTTACCCTCGCTCTTTGCAGACCCCTCTCAGCAGCACGGAGGCAGTAGGATGCTGCAGGCAGCATGGTGCTTTGTTCTGCCTGTCAGGTGCAGTTGTAAATCCTCTGTGGTCACAAACATCAGAGGATCTTGATGAGAGCATGTTGCCTGTGAGCACCTCCTCTGTGAGAGCTGGAGAACTGCCTGTATCTGGAGTCCAGCCATCTCGCTCTGAGGTTTTTGCTTGTCGGTTCCTATTTAAGTCCTTTCGTTTTCTCTTCTCAGGTCACTTCACCTGGGAGAAATACCTGAAAGAAACATGTGCCATCCCAGCTCCCGCCCATTGCTTCAAGCAGGTAAGAGGGTGCAAACAAGAAAGGTCAAAGGGGATGATGCATTAGTGACCCAGGAGTTCCCTGCCTGGGATAGGCCCCTTTTTTGGCAAGGAAGATGCTTAAGGATATCAGAGAACAGGAAACCAAGCATGCTGAAGCAAAGGTAACAAAGATAGGTTTGGGTGCTGCAAATGGTGGAGTAGCACAGATTTTACTCTGAGATATGCATGGATGGGAACATGAGAAAACTTCTACTCTGCCATAGGCCCTTAGAGAAATGGTTCTGGTGAATGGGTTAGCAGCCCCTGGGCATTGAGCACAGAGGTGGGTACAGGGGATGCAGGAGGGAATCGGCACAGCACATGGTACACCTGGGTCTGGGTATACCAGGATACTCCTCAGCAGCACGGAGGAGTTGTATCTGTTGGGTTGGCTGGGTGATTCCCCTGAGGGCTGTGAGGAAAGGGTAGGTCTGGTTACAGGTCTGCCAGGGCTCACCAAGCTTTCTTTGCTGCTCTGTGGTGTCTGCTCCCATGCTGTGCTTGGAGGATGCTGTCAGTCTCTGGTAGAACCAGTGCTGGTGCTCTCAGGGTATCAGCCTGAATAGTGGAAATCCTGGCTCTGCGTGAGTCCCTGTTTTTCTCTTTGCAGTCATACACTCCACCTGCAAATGAATTCAAGATCAGTATGAAACTAGAAGCCCAGGACCCCCGGAACACCACGTCCACGTGCATCGCCACAGTGGTGGGTCTGACGGGCGCACGCCTGCGCCTGCGCCTCGATGGCAGTGATAACAAGAATGACTTCTGGAGGCTGGTGGACTCTGCTGAAATCCAGCCCATAGGAAACTGTGAGAAGAACGGAGGGATGCTGCAGCCTCCACTGGGTGAGCTGGAGTTCTGCTGTCCACTGAGCACCCACATGATCTGTGCGGAAAACCTTGGGGGTTTTATATCTCTGTGCCTGGGACAGAGACCCTTGAACTGCCCCTGCCTACCACTGTGATATGGAGCAGCCCTGTTAGTTTGGGCTGTTAAACATGTATCCCACACCAGGATTTCCACATGGACTTTGTGGCATGGATAAGGAGGTGCTTTAGAGTGTAGATGAAAGAGCTCTTTGCACCTAGGTGAACTGCCTGCACTCTTTGCTGCTCAAGCTCAGGATAAGCACATGCTGACTGTGCTCTTATGCGTTCTGAAGTTATCCCTGTGTACCCCAAGGAAAAACATTTCCATGCATTTGTGGGAAAGAATGCCAGAGCCACTCTGATTCCTAGGGGACGCACAAGCAATGGAGGGCACCCCAAAGCCCTGGTGACCCAGGCGTGTGGGTGGTAGTGTTGGAAGGCAGAGCAACCATGATGGCCTGTCCTAGGTAACTGCCTGTATAAGGATGGAATGAATCCAGGTTCTCCTTTCCTGGGAGACACCCCACAGTCACCCAGGCAGTGCTGGCACATGGCTTGGTGTCTGGTCACTGCCCATTGCTCTGGGCTTCTGATCCTGCTTCCGAGTGCTGTCATCTCCAAGGTGTGCTTGGCATGAGCTGGGTGTCATCCATCAGTGCATTCCCCTGTGCTCCCCCTGGAGCTGAGCAGGGAGATGGTGTCTGGTTGGCTTTGCTGGGGATCTGTGAAACTTGAGGTAGAGAACAACCAAGAGAACAGTCAGGGCTGAGGCACTGCTGATCCTGACACTGATTTCAAAAGCATTTCAGTTTTCATTCATGCTGTCTAAGGGTATTTGTGCCCAAGTACCTTTGGATCAATAGGAGTTCAGCTGGGGACCACGTGATGAGGAAATAGAAGGTCTGACAAGGTTCCCAGTGATTTAAGTCCTGTCTCGTGAAGAGACACTTGTAATATTTCATCTCTTGACTTAGTTTCACTTTGCTGCAGCTTGATCACTAACGTGGACAAACAAATGCTTCTTCCAGCCTGGTCTTTGGGTGAATGCATCTTCTTTTTGACACTGGCCAAATGAGGAGCTCGTTTATTGGTTCTTTCCTGATGAAGCACCAAACTCAACCTGCTTTTGCATTCTGCTGCCCATTATTTGTGAAGCATCTTCATAAATCTCCCTCAGCACATCCCCAAATAAGATCAAGCCGATCTGTAGTGATGCAGGAAACCTTCAGTGGGACACCTGGAATGAGGGGTGTTTTTAATCATGTTTTTCCATGGAGCACCATTAGTGAGCTTTGTGGAAGTAGGGCCTGAACTGCAGTGGGACCCTTAGGATTGACCTTTCTGAAGAAGGAAGGAACATAAGCAGATGCATGTTCTGGCACATTCCACCACACGAAGCTGTGTGTAAGCAGGTCTAATGATACCTTTTGCCTTCATATTGGCTACAGGCAAAACCTGCTGCAGCTCAACATTGAAGCTGTCGGTTTTAGAATCAGAATAGTTAGGGTTGGAAAGGACCTTAGGATCATCCAGTTCCAACCCCCCTGCCATGGGCAGGGACACCTCACACTGAGCCATGCCACACACAGCTTCGTCCGACCTGGCCTTGGACACTGCCAGGGATGGAGCATTCACAACCTCCCTGGGCAACCCATTCCAGTGCCTCACCACCCTTACAGTAAAGAATTTTGATGTTATTTTCATGCATGCTGCTGTGCTTTTGCAGACATCTCTTTGAAACCTCAGTCCCAGGGAGCAGCCCATGAGCTGCCCATCTCCTGTGGGTACCGGTCCTGCCTGGCAGCCATGGTTCCTCCTGTGCCTTGCCCGGCTTTTGCCAGCAGATGGCAATAAGGGTAATGGAGCTGCTGAGCAAAACTCATTTCTGTCTGTGCCAGAGGAGAGGGTTCATGCTCTGGAAGAAGTCTTTGTGCCCAGCTGTGACCTGCGTAACCTTGGGCCAGGCTAGAATCACAGAATCCGAGGTTGGGAGGAGCCTCAGGGACCATCTGGTCCAATGTTTATGGGAAAAACATGACGTAGACTAGATGTCCCAGCACCATGTCCAGTCAGGTGTTAACAGTGGCCGATCTTGGGGAATCCATCACTTCCCAGGGGAGGTTATCCAGTGGCTGATTGTTCTTATGGGGGAAAATCTCCCTCTTGTGTCCAGTCAGAATCCCCCCAGGATGTTGTGTTGTGGCATCTCAACCCTGGCAGAGCTTTGCCATGTCAGTCACCATGGGATGCTCTCCCTTTAGGTCCAGGCCCAGGGTTATCTTCAAACTACCACAGATACAGACAGTGCAATGCCCTGTTCAGCTGAGCAGCAGAAATTGCTTCTGCAGGAAGATGCATATTGAGCAAAGGTGTTTTGTGATACCTGGTTGTGCAGTTGCACTCAGGGTCATAGCCCAAAGCATGTGAATTTGCTTTCTTCTTCCCATAAGCCCCTTTCTGCTATTTCTGTACTTTTCTTCATAGACAGCATTGAGCCAAAAGCTGCCATTCTTTCCTGTAATGGTTAAACCTGCTTCCCAGCCAAGCCACAGCCTCTTCATTTAGTCAGGTTAGCTTGCCTGCAGCTCACTCTAAAAGGTGCAGGGGACCACCCAGGAGCTGAGATTCCCTATGGAGGAAGAAATTCCATACTCTGAGTGTGCACTTGCTGATTCATGTCTCCCTGTAGCAGGATCATTGAGGCTGCCAGCACTAGTGCTGCGCAAAGCTCTCTGCCTGCATGGGTAATGTGCAGGCTTGTGTTCCCAGCAGAATATTGCAAACAGCCATCCCCAGGGGGTTCTTTTCAACAGCATCATGTTTTGTGTGCAGAGCATCTGGAAAAGGTCACCTCTCACCCTCCAACATGAGGAGGGTGATGCGTGATCACAGTGTGTGCCTGCTGCAGAGGTCCCAGCCCAGCAGGCGTGTGCTGCTGGATCCAGCCTCAAAGTCTCCATCTCTGCTTCCTCCCCTGCAGGCTTTCGGCTGAATGCCTCCTCTTGGCCCATGTTCCTTCTGAAGACTCTGAATGGAGCAGAGATGGCTCCTGTCCGGATTTTCCACAAGGTATTTCACTGTTTGTGAAGACACCCTTTTGGCATGGCCCTTTTACTGCAGAGCACCAAAGTCACAGCTGGTTTCTCACCACAGGAGGTGAACAGTGCCCAGCTTTGCCCTGGTGCTGCTTCTCTAGGGCAGACCTATACCCTCTATGGCTGCATCACAGCAGTGTCAGGATGCAGACAGGGGTCTGCTAAGAAAGCATCTTGGGCTTCAACACTCAGACTTGAGAGATGGGCTTGTTTTTCACTTGGGCTGCAGGTGCTGTCCAAGTCAGGAATGCAGTATCTGAAAGTCAGCACCTCTCTGAAACCTTTTAATGTACCAGAGCTTGGGAGGTGGGCAAAGACTGCTGTGAGGCCACACTGCAGGTATGGGTCTGTAGTTTGTAATCTCACATCTTTAGTCAGAGAGCTACAGAAGCCTTACTAGAGGATTGTGCTGTGCTATGGGATGGTTGATGTGGCTTCAGTATATCTCAGGTGTAAAAGACAAGGAGGAGCAAGCCCCAGATAAGGATGGGTGGCAGATCTCTCACATGTCTAGCAAAGCTGCAGTCTGGGGAAGAATGACAGAGAATGACTCTCATATCTCAGGTTTTCCTGCTGTGAGATAAAAAGGTTAGAGTACCTATAGAGGCTCTTTGGAGTTTATTTCCTGCCTGCGCTGCATGGCAGAGGTGTCACAGGCTCCAGTGTTAACATAGCACTGTGTGGGTTTGATCCAGCAGCAGGGTGATGGCAGAGCAGTCAGCAGTGGACTCCATTGCTTCTTGACTTGAAGGGCATGTAGTCGTGTAGTTAGGCCAGCACGAGCACACCTAGTTGGGGTTCACGTCCAGCCCACTAGCTCCCTTCTTGATCTGCTCCTGGAGGGGAGTTTGCTGATGGAGGGGACAGCCCTGGTATATCCTCTTTGAGCACATTTTCAATTTCTCCTTATAGGAACCACCATCTCCATCCCAAAACTTCTTCAAGACAGGTATGAAGCTGGAGGCAGTGGACAGGAAGAACCCTCACTTCATCTGCCCGGCCACCATTGGGGAGGTGAGAGGTTCTGAGGTCCTCATAACATTTGATGGCTGGAGAGGTGCCTTCGATTACTGGTGCCGATATGATTCCCGGGACATCTTTCCCGTAGGCTGGTGCTCGCTGACTGGAGATAATCTGCAGCCCCCTGGAACAAAAGGTAAGGCCCACGTTGTTGCTTAGGTGTCTTCCTCCTCCGTTTACCTCTCAAACAGCAGCAACCCAGGCAGAGGCTGGCACCGGGGACATCTGGGTTCCCTGTCTGGCTCTCTTACGCTGCTTCGTGCACGGTAAAGGTGCAGATGATCCCGTGCAATTGCAGTGTAACAGCCTGGCCTCAAGGTGCTAAGGAGCTGCCATCGATGGAGGTGGGCAGGAGGTGGCTCTCTGAAGGGATGGAGCTGGTCACCACTGCTGAGGTCTGCTCCTCCTCAGCACCTGCATTGGAGGCTTTCCTACGCCTTTAGAATGCACGTTCCAAGGGAGTTTTCCACATGGGGACCAGGCTATTTGTGGATAAAGTAAGGGAATAACGAGAAGTATGAAGTTGCAGGACTGTTTGTACATGTGGCATGTACATGTGACTGTGCCTGTGGCAGAGACCTTGCTCTGCCTTGTCCTGTGATGTCTGCTTTGAACGTGGGAAGCTCAGGCCTGGTTGGGTTGTACTTGCCTTGTTCCTAGAGCTGTGACTGTTGCTTTGGAAGGGTGCTGAGGAACTTGCAGAGGTCTGAGCATTGGCTGTGGAGGTTTTCAGACGTGTCTTTAGCTTGCTAGCACTGCAGTTGTGTTTAGGACCGGGGAGCTGTCATTGTCCCCATGCTCATCCCTCTGGCATTTGCTGCTTGGCAAACCCAGCACGTGCCTGACAATGGAACGGGAAGGAGAGCAGCCTCTCTGCTGGAGCTGAAGGATTACTTAGGAAAGGCATTTCTCTGATGAGGCTGTTCCTTGTGAAAACCCAGGGTCAGCTGGTGCTTCCCTGCTGTCCCTCGGTGTGAGCCAGCCCTGTTCTCTGTGCTGCAAGGCTGGCTCGGGCTCCCCTCGCGCGGGGCTGATTCTGTTCTGGCTGGGAACTGAAAGGTTGTTGCTGTTTATCTTGGATTGCTGCATTTGGCCTTGATGTTCCCAGCCTCTCCCTCGCTTCCTGCTGGTTGTTTGCATTCTGTCCTGCGGGCGCCACAGAGCTGCTGGGGACCTCCTAGCTGGGGCTGCACCCCCCCCCTGCACTGCCCTGGGATCACCCCCAGCATCTCCAAGGTGCTTCTCCGGTACTGCACAAGAGGCTAAGACATGGTTGTGTTGGGTGGGAGCTTTGCTGGCACTAAAGTGGAGGTGGAAGGGTTCAGGGGCAAGGTGAAAACGGCTTTCCTAGGAGAAGTGGGAAGACTCATAGCACCCAGCATAGGCAGCATCTCTCCCTGTGCCAGGGCTGAGGGAGCAGGGCATCCAGAAGAAGTAACAACCCAGTGTGGGGCAACACTGTGGTCATTTTGAGCCATCTTGAGAAGCATTTGCTTCCCCACTTTGGCAGGCAGCAGTGACTCCCCCTCTTGCATTGGCTCCACCAGCAGCCACTCTGCAGTTCCCACTCATATACTAAAGTAGTGAACCCCAAAAGTCACATCTCCCACTCCCAGGCAGAGGCTCTCAGGCAGGTTGGTTGTGTTGTTCAAGTCCAGAGACAAGAGCAGGGATTGCAGAGATTGTGTGAGCCATGCAGAAATGTCCTGGAGTCAGGATCAGCTTTGGCTTTGTGGTATTTTCCTTTCCTCTCTGTACCTGCCCCCTCCCTTTCCTGGCCCAGACTTTGCAATTCCCACTTAAACCAAATGAAGGGAGCGCTGGGAACTTTCCTTGTCTGTAATCAAATTCCTCCCTGTTCCTTTACCTCTCAGCCCTGCTTTGGAGGAGGGTTGAGCACAGTCCTCCCAGGACCTGAGAGTGCTGCTCTTGGCAGGGTTGGAGGATGCTTCACCGCAAAGGGATCCCCCTTTCCTCCAGCTCCAGCAAAGCTTCCTTATGTGCCAGCCTGGAGCCTGCAGGACCACGCAGTGGAGTTGGGCAGGTTCCCATTCCTGGTTGGAATTCCACCTAAATCAGGGAGACCTGGGGAGATACACAGGAGGTCAGTGCTACGTGTGGTTATATGAGCTCTGCCGATGGGCACGAGGTGCCTGGAGGAGCTGAGATGTCCTGTGAAGAGTTAACTCCATGGAGACTGATGGTTTCCTGGGGCTGAGCAAAATGAGCTCATGATCAAGGGAAGCAGAACTTCAAAGAGGCCAGGCATGTTTATTTAATGCTGGTAACATAATTCAGCTCTAATCTGTCCCTTCTGCTGCCTGCCAGCAGTGGTGGAGGAGCGCAGGGCTTCTCCAGGCACTTCCCCTCTCCAGCTCTGGGGCCTCCCACTCCTACCAGTGTTTGCTTTGCTGGGCAGGGTGCTGGTGGAGCTGGGGCCCAGCCAGCCCTGCCGAGGGGAGCTTTCCTGAGGACACTTGTGTGTGTGAAGGGAGGAAAGGGAGGTCAAATGGCGAGGAGGAGCAGCTCTGCCTGCCAGGTTGGTAATTCCATGGCTGTCAGATGTGCTCTGTGGTGGCTGGAGGCCAGATGGCTGCAGGCTCCTGGGTATCTCCTGCAGCTCCTCTTTGTGCAGCACAGCCTGGAGCTGCAGGGTTCACATAAACCCATGCTGCAGAGCAGTGTAGCTCCGGGGGTGTCAGCGGTCGGTCCTGCTCCTCTCTGCTCCCCATCAGGCTGGGGTTGGAGGTCAGCTCTGCTGGGCTCCCAGAGCAAGGCGAGATGTGGCAGAACTTGGCCTGTGCATCCTCAGCCTTCTCATGCCAGCCAGGCAGCAGCTGGGGAAGGCAGGGGGTTAGAACTACATGATCATAAGTCCTTTTCCAACCTTTCTGTGATTCTATGACTGTCCCAAAGGGAGGCGGTTTCGGTGGCAAAAGCTTCCTCTTGACTTCCCATCCATGCCAGTGCCACACTCGCAGGGCTGTCTCTTAACCAGGAATCAGCACTCCTCACCTGTAGTGTACAGCATCTTGTATGTCTTTTCATGCCACTTACACACATGCTCTTTTACCCTTAAACACATATCCCAGGCTCTTAGAAATAGAAGGTGAGGTGGGTGTCCTATAAAACCAGGTGCTGGTTGGCAGCTTTGAGCTCTGCTCGATGGGCAGACTGTGCTACTGATAGCCCCTGCACTTACCTTGCATGGGAGATGCTCAGGACTTGTGGGTTCACTTCAGAAATGAAGACAGGGGGTTGGAACTGGATGAGCTTTAAGATCCCTTCCAACCCCAACCAGGCTGGGGTCCTGTGATTAATTCTTCTCAGCCATGGTTTGTGCATCACTTCTGGGTGGCAAGGGAGTGCTGTAACCTTAAAAACAAGGATGCAGGGACACAGGCAGCCTGCAGCAACCTGCCCACAAGCACAGGTACGGCTGTCAGTGTTCACAGTAACTCAGAAGGTCCTTGTACCATTCCTTCACTTGCACTGTGCCTTGGCAGGGGGGTTGGACTAAGTGACCTCCAGAGGTCCCGTGCTTGTGATTCTGCGATGCTGAGCTCCTCCGGAGTTCCCTGGTGGGTTCACTGCACCCATTACATTGATTTCCCACCCCTGTGCATGCTCACAAGAACAGAACATTGTGAGGGGTGCTGGGTGCTGAGTGGGGCAGCAGTGAAAGCGTTAAGGCTGGGTGGGCAGAGCTGGGAGCAGCTCCAGCACTGGAATTTGGAGGAGTGGAGTTGCTGCCTTGGCCAAAACCCAGCTGGCGACAAGCCCTGACCGGGATGGGCCCGGGGAGCTGCTGGGGAGGTGATGCAGAGCCTGGCTGGGCCACGGCTGCTAGGCAGCCACAGCAAGGGCAGCACAGAGCCCCGTGCTGCGTGTGGTCCAACAGCAAGCATGTCCCTGCGCTGTGTGAGCGCACTGCTGCTGTCAGCACACTGCTGCCCGGGCCTGGCTGCCTCCAGAGCCTGCCCCTCCCCTTGCAAAGCCCAAGTGAAGAGTTTTAGATAGTTACCATGGGGATGTGTTGAAGTGGAACTCCCATTTGCTCCTGGACTCGCATCCGCTCCCGACTGTTGCATGTGTTACACAGCCCAGAGGCTGGAGCCTGCCCTCACACGGGTGGGTAAGAGAGGGGCACAAAATGCTGCCCCTGGGTAGGAAGCTGATGAAGTCCTTCATCCCTCAGCACTGCTGCTGCCATGTGATGTGTTGGTTAACTGCTTGGCATCTTCAGATGAAGATGATGGTCATATGCTAGACTTTCTGCCCCCGGGCAAAGGTAACGTGTATTTTATGACTTTATTTCTGCTGTTGCTTGGTTTCTCTTCCTCTGTTGGGGCGAGGACACGGTGATGGGTGGAGGAGCCTCGTGAGGAGTAGCTGGCAGGGGAATGCTCAGGTGAGCTCTGCTTTACAGCTTGAAGGAGATGGAAAAATACTCATTGCTGTCACTTCAGGACTGAGCTGGGGCTCGTCCGTCAGGCCAGGTGATGAATGTTGGCATTGGGGTGGCTGGAGTTGGGAGCACACAGGTACTGATGGTTGCACAGAGAAGTTCAGCATTTTCTCTTCTAAGTGTGAGTCTAGTGCATGTGCAGTCGTGGTGCTCTTGGAAGAGCCCAAGAAATATCCCTTGAGCTGTTTGGAGCACAGAGCTGAGGTGCTTATCCTGTCTTGCATGTGTGTCCTGGAGTCCAGGTTGGTTGTGGAGGTCTGGGCTCCGTGCTGCAGGAGGGTTTGCTGCTCCCCAAACCCCTTTGGATGCTGGTGGTGCCTGTGGCTCAGCACACAGCAGATCTGGCACTCAGCAGGATCTCGGGCATGTTACAGACTTGGTGTTACTGTGGGATGTCTTGGGGCTGGAAAGAGCCTCCAAGGAGTTGACCTGGGACAGGCAGTTTCCACCATCCTCCAGCCTGTCTTTCATATGAAGCTCATATCCCGTGTCCTTCTTATGAAGTTGTATCCCAGCTTGACTTTTCCTCATGTTTTATTCTGAAGTTGTTCATAACCCACAGATTATGAATCTCTGTATTCAGGACATTTCCTTCTCTTTTCCATCCCACTTCCTGGTCCGAAACAGGGTTTCAGAATCTCAGGGTGTTCCTGAGTCCTGGCAGGACA